CTTACTGTGCTAGCCGCGAATGATCGTTATTTTTCCTGCCGAATTATGATAACTGTAAAAAAAAAAATGCGACTATTTTAAATGAGCTATAGTGAGGTCATGCGAAACTGTGGTCGAAATTGTAGACAAAGACCGAATATAAGTAGCGCAAGGCGAGAATGTCAAGCTCGACGCGCTGCGCATAAAAACATCGAATGCTTAGGACCGACTGTCTGGACAATCGTAATGAGTGTAATTCTCTAATAAATCGAAGTGAAAAGAGTCTCCCTGCCATGCTGGTGCATTTGCCATTAGCTGCCGATGCACAAGGCCAGTCATTTATGTTAGGAAAAGTAGCGAAAATAGAGTTAACGCATAAAATTCACTGTCAACCTTGCGAAGATTATTAGAGATGAGCTGAAATTTCTTGGAAAAACAAAATGGTTAACAGGGAGCACCAAAGTGCTGCACCTAGGCAAATATAAGCAAAACGGTGATAATACTGTTTTGGCCGAAGTGCCTTGCCGTCTCGCGGCGTGAGGAGCGCACTGATTACAATTATACTTCAGCATTAGCATGGAACCATAGATAATCTAAGCGGATGGGGGAGGGGGAGGGGCGACGGGTCCTTCGACCTCCCTTCCCGCCCCAATGGCACAGACATCAGTGCTGCAAAAGCCCGGGTCTAAAAATAAACCTAAAGTAAATGTAAGCCCAAAGCAACTCTAAGCAGCAGTGTTATAAATCTATTCCTAGTTTTTGCATAGTTTCAGGGTGGGAGGGGGCTCTCCTCCCCAACTTTCCCCTCCCCTCCCTCGCCACCACCAGGAGCCTCACGCCCTCTCCCCCGCGCCCCCCGTCGCCCTTCCTTCCTCGCCCTCCCCACTCCACTCCCTTCCCTCAGGAATCCATCCTGGATCCGCCTTTGGCTGGAACATCTCGTCAGAAAATGATGAGTGACTGGAAGCGAAAGCAAGAATACACACTGATATTTGAGGTGGCTTAAATGTTATCACAGTAGCTAATCATTAGTGCTTGTCATCATCATCAATAAAAACAACAGAGCCACGATATCCCGTATTGCTCGCGAGTTGTACTTGTTGCAGTTCCGTCACTGATTTTACAACTGGACTTGTCGGTTCGGAACATGACTCCTTCCTCACCTGACCCATTTTTTCTTGATCTAGAAGTCGGTAGGGTTCGGGCAGTTGAGTGAAAGTTTGCTGTACCTTTCCTGGTGGCGGTAAGATGGACTTTTCCGGTGCATTTTCATCATCACTGATTTCTTCCTCTTTAAGGATTTCTCCTTTCAGTGAAGACGTTTCACGAAGTTTCGTTAATTTTTTGCGCAACTTCTCGATGTCTGTCCTCAGCTGTGGTGGTGCAGACTGCCGCCGACTCCGAATTCGGGCTTTTTCAGTGCCTGATGTTGTTGGGACAGCCGACTGTCGCCGCATACGGATTTGCATTTCCTTGCTGTAGGGCGGTATTTCGTCCTGAAATATTTGTCACTGTAATTTTCCTAAAAATGATAACAAATTGGGAAAATTCTGGAGAAGAATGGAATGTACCTTTGAGTTTCAGCAAGCCATAATTATGAAAATAAAGTGTGCGCCTTTCAGTCTACTGAGCGTTGCCCCCTTGATTCTCAGAGCACTAAAAGCGAAGGCCATCTTTCCTGGCTGTTTTGTTTTTCACGCTTTCGTCTTAGCGAGACCACTCGAACCACTAGCAAAAACAATTTCAGTCAGAAATGTCGATTATTCCTACTCATTATCAATTCTGAACAGGCCAGACCTAAGGGTAGGAAAACCTTTAGTTAAGTCAAATGAGTAAATAAGAACAGCTTTGAGATTATTTGTAATTTTTTCACCGCACGTTAAGGGACTGTTACATACATACACACATATATATAACATATATAACTGTTATATATATGACTATTGTAACTGTTGTATGTAGAGGGACTGGTACATATATGCATATATGTGCATATATATATATAT